AATGCAGCCAGTGACGGCCCGAGACGTCCTTTGGTACTTCACCCGGTTAGTGACGATTACGCTGACGGACGAAAACCCTCTTCTGTCATTGCTGAGTCATTTTTTACATTTTTCGTCATCGGTCAACAAAATGGGCTTCCATCAGAGACGGACTGATGGACCTTTCGTTAGTACTGAGGGAATGCCCACCTCTGATGGTTAAGATGTTTATGTGACACATGTTGGTAAGGGTCAGAAAGGTAATTAACTAGTGGCACCACCGATTTATTTTTTTCATGTGGTTGACCATGCCGGTAATAAGCAGCATTTCAGCTTCACAGATGCCAAGTCTCCTTGACTGTTGCCATGTGTTATACTAAAGATGTCAATAAACATTGTGGTATCAGTCATGTAGGTAATTACATAATGCCACGTATTCATTTTCTAAGAGGTGGTTGTTTATTTGAGGTGTGGTGTTTTTATTTTATTTTTTGAGTGGCCGACACGCTTGACAATAATTGGGGTATGGCGTCTATTCAGGAGGAGGCCAATACATTTTCCTTTTCTCACTCCTTGTTTCTCATTGTTCCGACCAGCGCATCCATACCAAGCTTTGACGGAAAGTGTTAAGGAAAAGAAAAAAGTGTTTTTCTGTTAAACGAGTAAGGTTAATAATGTGACTGTGAACTGTTGAACCACTCCTTCTCAGCTGTTTACATTGGTTTAGCCATTTGTTTGGACCCGTATTGGCCTTGTGTCGTTCCCATCGAAAAAGAAAATAACAACAAAAAGGAACATTTCTTTCAGTCTCGCTCAGGAAACGCCAAGGGTTGAGGTGTACAGTGGGTCTTTTAATGGTGCAAGGCTGCAAATCTGACACCGGTGTCAAGGTAACTGTGTACTGGATGGATATATATTTCATGTTCCCAGTGGAGAAATCGTTTTTGAGCATTGCCTGACTGAAGGGGTTTGAAATTGCTTTCGAGATTACAGCAAACTAATACTTTAGATGCATCCAAGAGGTCACACCCATTCAGATGTGGTCAACCGTTTATTAAGGCCAGGCTTGAAAGGGTTGTGACTTATTCAGAAAGGCTGATCGGTCGAGCGTTATGGTTTGCTTGATTGGACTGGAGCATCATTCACCTGCACCAAAGTGCAGAGTTTGCACTTTGGCTCGGCACACTTGGACTAGCTGCCATCTCCTGGGATCCACCAAATACATGTTAGATTTTTCTCTGTCACGCTTTCAAGAATGTCAGGTATACTTCATTTTTTTTAAATGTTTTGTTGGTGTCATTTCTACAAAGCTCATCATTTAATGAGCGAATTCTTTTGTATTCCTAGCAGCATAATTCAGATACAAATAGTTCATATGGCCACTTTTCATTAATCAGTCTTATTTGCTTTCAGCAAAACTAAACCTTATTGTCTCTGCCATGAGTGTCAAACTCAAATGATCACGATCGTTATCAGGCTCCTGTAGAGCTTGCTGATGAGCTGATTATTTGAACCAGGCGTGTTGGAGGAGGGAAACTTCAAAAAACATGCATGATAGTGGCTCTCCAGGACCGGAGTTTGACACCTGTGGTCTATGCTCACCTTAAAACAATACATGATCGAGGTTTATAGTATACAGATGTCTTAGTAAAACTCAGATAATTTCATGACTTGTCCATTAATTTGTATGTTACTTGGGATAGTGCTTTATAGTTTATATACCACTCGACCACTGTGGCATCGTGAATAGAGAAGTCTGTATAATCCTTCATTTGCATGGCCGGCACATAAGTAGTAATGTATATGCTTCCATCATTATCACGTGTAATCCTTTAAACAGACTCCAAAGCAACAGAAGATGCTTTTATCAGGCTACGGCGTGGAGTTAGCAATCAAAAGCACAGAGTATAAGGCAGTGGACGATACCCAAGTCAAAGGTTAGTCTGCAGTTGATCAAGTCCTTTTTGTTGAACCTTTTGTGTCTTTGACAATATGACATCTTGTATTTCTTTGTAGATGCAAAGACAATCATAAAGGCAGAGGAAGAAGATAACGACGAAGTCCAAGGATTCTATTTTGGAACATTGAAGTAAGGAGCATCTTTTGTTTATGTACAAAAACCACCCACTTTATTTGGTACCCAGACACTAGATGAAGCCAATTCAATCAACCGCTATCCTCAAGAACCATTTGAAAAATTATGTCTTCATAATTCTCGTTTTGTTGTCATTGGACAAATATTTCTTATTGTGCTCAGACAGCAGCATTTTATCGAACTCCACCATGAACTGCGGGTTTACAGAGGCAACGTCTTCTCTGTACGCTGTCTACAGTTGCATTTGATCAACTATACATTGAGAATTGCAACATTTGGATGTGCCTAAGTTTATTAAAAAAAAAAAAACACACGCATGGGTTTGAATAATTGCCCGCTGCGTCACTTAAAAGCTTCTGAAATTTTCATGAAACTCTTCGATGGGATATCATTAAAACTGTGCTAATTGTAATGTTGATGTTAACGTCGCAATATTGTGAGGTTTCTTTTCTATCTGTCAAGGAAATCTCATCCTGAACTCCAGGAGCAACTTGGTGAGCTTCGCAAGCATCTACTGGACAGTACCAATGAACTGGCCCCTCTCAAAGTGTGGGAGCTACAAGGTAGCAACATAGTCTTGGCCATTCATTAACCGCTATATGAATATGTTCTTCATCTTTGCAGTTTTCAACCAGTATCTCCTTTAAAAAAAATGTTATTAGCTGTAATGTATTGCTCTGATTTAATTATTTGATCTATGTAGACCTCAGCTTTCAAGCAGCTGCTAGAGTCCTGTCCGTGCCAAAGTTTGGCGCCTTGAAGCTCATGCGAGACCTCAGTCAAAATTTTCCAAACAAGGCAAGGTTAGAAAATACATCACTGGGTGAGGAGTGATAACATATTTGATCCAATTTCATGTTTCTTGTGCCCAAGTGGGATTGCTCTCTCTTCATTTACAACACATACTTTTTTATTTACAAAACCTTCAAGTATTTTTAAAAAGTATTATTTATGGAAGAAAAAATTGCCAGCATTGTAGTATTTTTAAATGCAATACAATGCCCCAAAAGTGAAACATTTTGAAATTCAACCAATAGCTTGTGGAAAAAAAATGTCTAAAACATTGAACTGATTTTGCTGTCTTTTTACAAGAAAAAAAATGATGTCACCACAAAAGGCTAATAATGATGGTGAAGAAGAAAATTGTGATACAGAATCTTAACTTTAAATTTAAACTTATTTCAACATGGGAAAGGGACTGCCTACTAAGCAAATGCTAACAGTAGCATGTAGCTAAAAGCATGATCATTGCAAACGGTGCATTCTCACTGCATCCTTCAATAATGTTGAAATGATGTCAAATTTGAATTCATATTATTTACATCTCAGTCAGGGGTCCTCAAATGATGAGTAGTTTGCTCTATTTTAGTTTTAAATACATTGGTTCATATATCTTTCTTCTGATATTGACAGTTAAGCCTCGTACCGAAAAATGGGCCAGAGAGTAAATACATTTTTTTATGTTAACGACATTATACAGTATGTTTTGGGGGTAAAAACTGAAATTGAAACAACATGGAACCAACGTTATTGATAAGATTGTTTTCAATTTTGGATGTTTCACGATAATTCGGTCAACATATTGCTAAACCCTATAATCTGCAAAATCAAATGGCTGCTCATATTTATTCTTCTAGTTGAAAAAAAAAGAAAGAAAAGAAAAAATAACAGCAAAAGTGATGTGTAATAGTTGTTTGTTTCCAGGGGATTTACGTACAGATTTATCTTATGGAGGGCGCGTAGGTTTTTCAGCGATTAAAACTGTCACTTTGGTGGGTGTGATAAAGGCTGATGGTAAGCGTATGTTTTACTGTACCGCTTTACAATTCCCGCAGATCACTGACAAGAGTGGCTGTAAAGAGTGAGATGAGAAAAGAAATTGAAGAGAACCAAAAGGTACGTTATCGTAAGCGGTGTCCAAACACGACATTGCAAAAAAAAAAAAAAAAAAAAAAAAAAAAAAACCTCTTTGATTTGATAGCGCTTCACAGGTTAGATGATGAGTCTCTGATCTGTATCTGAAATAACTGCCGAGACCTCATCAGCATTTTTTTCACACTCTTGTCCTTTTATGTGCGGACTTTAATGTAGCTTGTCTTTCTGAGAAAAAAAAAGATGGGGGGGGAAAAAAAAACATTCTGGGTTTCAACCAACTCTTTTTGTTTGTTCCTTTAAGCATCTTAGTGAGACCATTGGTGTTCAGCCAGGAGACGGGGAGCTCTTCATAAATGGTCTTCATATTGATCTAGATCTTCACGACCCTTTCAGGTAGGATTCCAACCAGATATCACCAGTGGTCAATACTTATTCCCCCCTCCCTCTCACTGTAAGCCTCAATCCCTTGCCTCCGTGCTCCTGTTGCCACATGATCACAACTCTGTTGTCATTTAAAACTCTTTCCTTGTCATCTTTCTTTGATAGCCTTTTGGAGATCCTTAGAGGAGAGGCCAGGGTCTTGGAAGGTCTTCACAACCTCGGTGTAAAAGGAGAGCATCAGTACACGCTGCTTCGATTGCCTGTGAACCATGTGGCTGACAGCTATGCCTTAGATATCAGACATCCAGCTATAATGGTGCGTTGTGGTGACTCACCACTCCTGGACTACACCGCGGGTAACAATAGGGAATCAATCATCTGCCAAGAAATCGTTTTAAATTAGAATCTTGGAAGCCTTTCATTTCGGGATGCGCACAGCATGTCCAAATTTAACCAACTGCATTAAAAAATTCTTCATCCTTCTGATGGCGTTTGATGGAGGCGCGAGGTTTAAGAGAGTGGCAAGGGCAGTTTGCTCAGGGAAAGTCAACGTCATGCATCCTGCTTTCTAATCAACTTTACAAGTGTAAAAAGAAGCCAGTAACTGTGGGGTAAAATATTTTGTACTGTGCAGTGTTGTAGTTTCCTGTACTATGGTCATGTTGACCAATTCCCTCTTTGACATTACTGGCATCCTTTGCTAGTTAACATCAGAAAAAAAAGGTGAAACCTTGTGTGATATGCTGGGTTGCCATGTCTGTCATTAGTCGCACCCATGTTGTTATTTAAAGGTGTATTTTTCCCGAAATTCTGTTTGCAAACTTTGGACCTAGGTGGCATACCTGTACAGTATTTGAGGTTTCACCTTATGCTGTGTAAAGTGTGCACAGAGAGGACAAGATTGAGGCTGTGATATTGGCTAGATTTCACAAGTCTCAGATGCAGACCCCAAGCACTTCTGCTCCGTTTTGCTTCGGCTGCACTTCTTAGTTAACAAGCAAGACAGAGTAGAGTAATGACTTTATTTAATGTTTTTTTTGTTTTGTTTGGTTTTGTATTCCTCAGTGGATGAATGACATTGAGAATGACCCAATGTACAGCAGCTGGCCAGCAGGTGTCGAGGAGCTGCTGAGAACAACCTTCCCAGGAGTCATCCGACAGATCAGACGGAATTTCTTCAACCTGGTAAGGTCGCAAAGTTGATCACATTATACTGACTTGTGTTACATAAACCTTATTGGAACTTCTTCATTGTCAAGAGTAAATTTGATTGACCATCAACCATGTACGCGTCTTAGAGAAGGACTTCTTAAGTCCCTTGTGAATATAAGTGAATAGGAAAATCGTTGGATGGATGTATACTACTTAGTGTACCGGTAATTATAGTGTGAACTTATTCCTATACAGAGAACGACCGAAAAACGTGTAGCTTTCTATGTAATTTCACACAAACACACACCATTTCCCAACCCTTTCGGAACTTTTTGTAGGTTCTGTTCCTCGATCCGGAAGAGGAGAAAAGTGTCGAGCTCGTGAAACTTGCCGGGCTCTTCTACAAACACAAGATCCCCTTGAGGTGGGAGCATCTGCTGCTGTTTTATGCTCCACTTTGGGCATTTATAATCCTCACCATAGCTCTGTTTCTCATTTCATCTGCAAATTGAATACTTGTTTTGCTCACTTTGGCCAGAATTGGATATGTGTTTGTTGTCAACACCAAAGATGAGATTGATGGCTTCTCGAATGCGGGGGTTGGCTTTTACCGACTCGTGAATTACATCGCAGACGAGTATGATTTATCCCAGGCCCTGATATCCATGGCCTCAGTAAGTGTGTCGCAAATATACATCTCTGTTTTTCACTCTGCAGTTCTTAATGAATAACTTACCGACCGGTAAGTACTTTCCAGTACTTATCATACTCAGTTGTTTCCTTGCATCCCTTGTGATAGTGTCCGTTGTGTTGTGGGAGTTGGTGGTCCTTCCTGTGATAGTAGCTCCTTCAAATAGTTGTGGGAAATTGTTGACTGGGGCGGCGATGTGAGTACACAGTTCAATCTCATCTCACCTGTCACTCCAATGCAGTTGTACAACAGAGTCAATGAAGGGGAAACGTTGACGGCTGACACAATCATTGCTTTCCTGAAAAGCAAATTCCCGAAAGCCAACACTGAAAGGATCCTTGGTGCCAAATCGGAGTATGATGGCAGAAGAACGGTAAGAACATAAACGGTCCCTTCATATTTGCCTTTATAGTCACAAATTAGTCGTGAAAAGTATTGCAATCAGTTTTTTATGTGCCCCAGGATGGCACCCTTTTTTACAAAAAGAGTGGCCTGGGTGCCCTTCCGCTGGCATTATTTAACGGCGTCCCCCTGAGCCCAGATGAGATGGAGCCGGCTGAGCTGGAGAGCATCATCCTGCAGCACATAATGGACTCCACTACTGCCTTCCAGAAAGCTGTTTTCATGGTATGACTCCACTGTATGGTCAGCCTCCCAGCGGAGGTCTGTATAAATTTACAAAAATCAATCAAAACACTGATGCATTGTTCTAAGGGCAGTTAATGCATATGGAGGTCTTTGGTTTACGAGCTCTGTTCCCTACCACGATGATCAGATGTAAATTGAATTTGTGTCACTAGCCGATGTGCAGGCAGTATTGGTCTGAAACACACTTCTAGGCCATTAATATATAACCAGCAAGTCAAAAAAATGTTTTATTAGTCGTTGATAACATTGCTCTATTGTGCCGTGTGACAACATACTGAGGCTCACTGTATTTTCATGGCCACTGTAGAAAAGTAGGAGGAATGGGACTCTTAGTGAGTTGCCTTCACACAGATCATAATGACAAAATAAATGAAATAAAAGGAATCAATTTAACTCCAGGCATGTGTCCCGCAAAAATCAGGAAAGTTACTGCCTGAAATTTATCACAGTGTTGTGGTTAAATATGTATGGTTAAATAGTATGGTGCAATAAGTCAACTCTTGTTTGCAGGGTCACTTGACTGAGGGAACAAATGTGATGGATTACCTAATGGAGCAAGCCAACGTGGTACCCAGAATGAATCCATTTATTCTAAGTACAGATCGGAAGTACCTGGACTTCACTTCCTCTCCAGGTGACTTCACCTGCTCAAAAAGCGTACAATTATTACTTTTTTTAAAAATCATTTTTATTTTATTACACAGTTGTCAGTGACTGGGAGGATGCAACTATGTTTTCATTTCTGGACTCCAGAGACAAGACTGCTGTGATGGCTAATAGAATGAAATACCTGACTAAAAATGGTGAGAAGACTTTTTATCCACGGTTTCACCAGCATACAGTATCTTCTATAATTTAACATTTGTATATCCTTTGTTAGTTATTTCATATTTCTAAGGCAACCATAGGAATATTCTAATTATTAGGTCACCTCAAAGAGTAAATACAAATGTAACGAGTCTACAATTGAAGTCTACAATTGAAATCAAAACAATCTGTAGCTGTTGTCTTCATTATTTATTTAGTTTAAATGCAGTTATCATTGTTGAAATATTTCTCTTTTCCATCAGATGAGGACGGGATGAGCGCTGTGACCATGTGGATTGTCGGAGATTTTCAGAAAGCCTCGGGAAGAAAATTGTTGCTTGCTGCGCTAAAACATTTGGTACGTACGTAATATCACTTAATATACGTAATATACACTTACGGTTTCAAGCCGCACCTTGATAGAAAAAAACTGGTATCTTTCTAAATGACACATTTACTCAAGTTATATGGAAGTAGATGCATTTTGATGTTTACTTGAGCAGTTGACTCTGCTGCAGACTTGAGTGGGGGGAAAAAAAGACCGAAAAAAATTGTCATATTTTCATAACTGACATAACTGAATTATAGTTCACGTATATGTATATAACCGGTACCAGTCATTTCCCATATGTCAGGAACTGAGCATTAAATTAAAACAATCAACTTTTTTTTTCTGTGTGTGTGCTGCCCCAATGACACACCACCCGTGCTCGAAATAAACAGTGTGATAGATGTGTGCCTTACATCACTACTGTGTGTGTGTGTGTGTGTGTGTGTGTGTGTGTGTGTGTGTGTGTGTGTGTGTGTGTGTGTGTGTGTGTGGGTGGGTGTGTGTG